CATCTGAGTAAGTGCTGCATTTGAGTCCTCCTTTCCACTCTTCACACGGCCGCTGCCCCGGACCGTGACAGTACGACGCGACCACAAGATGGACCCAGCAGCGCTTAATCCGTCCAGGGAGCTACGGGAGACGCTCATCGATGCCACACAGGAGCTGATCGACCTGTGGCTGGAAAGCCCGGGTGGCACGTCCCAGCGCGCTATAGAGAGGCGGCTACAGCGTCTGGTGACCGGTCTCCCATGGCTGCTGGACTCGCTCTGTTCGTGGGAGCAGGAGTTTCTCCTTTTGGACCTTGGACTTCACCCCCCGTCTGCATTCACTTTCGAGCAGCCCGATGCGGTGAGTCAGCGGGATGCATTGCTTTCCCCAGTTTCCGGGACTTTGTTTTCTGAGGCTATTCAGAGTGGGATGGGAGACTGTACGGGTCGCTTACCTACCTTCGTGGTAACGGATCCTTCCCAAGTGGGCGTGTACAAACCCGCTGCAAAACTGACAGACTGTGTCTCTGCCGCTCCTTCTGAGCCAGGACTTTATTGCCATTCTCCGGCTCAGTTCTGTGTCCAACCACAAGCTTCCCAGTCTGTAGCTCAACCATTAGCCTCCCTTAAGCCACAATTTTCACACTGTTTTTCCACCGCTGTTTCTGAGCAGGGAGACAAACTGTTTCACTACGGACCTGTTCCTCAAAAGCTGGCTACATTAGAGACTATTGCTCACTCTGGGGCTTCCCCAGAGGCTGGGTTTCTGCCCTCAGCTTACTCTGGACCCCTGGAGGCCAAGATGCCAGCTGTGAACTGCACCGGGCTGTCACTGCCTGAGCAGGGTCAGTGCTCTGCGCAGCTGCAGCCCTCCTTATGTGTGCCGGAGGCCCACGTGCCTACTGGTTTTGTTTCATATGTGCCAGAGGCCCACGTGCCTACTGGTTTTGTTTCATGTGTGCCAGAGGCCCACGTGCCTACTGGTTTTGTTTCATGTGTGCCGGGGGCCCCGGTGCCCACTGGTTCTGCGGCTGCTTCGCCAGCTGGGGGGCCCGAGGAGCCCATCCAGCCTCCTGCTTCGCCAGCTGGGGGCCCGAGGAGCCCGTCCAGCCTCCTGCTTCGCCTGCTGGGGGGCCCGAGGAGCCCGTCCAGCCTCATGCCACACTGACTGCCACGTCGGCTGGGGGGCCCGAGGATCCCGTCCGGCCACCTGTGGCTGCTTCTCCACCTGTGGCTGCTTCTCCACCTGTGGCTGCTTCTCCACCTGTGGCTGCAGCGCCGCCTCCTGCAGTACCATCACCTGCAGCGCTACCACCTGCTACTGCCACGCCTCAGCCTGAAGCTTCAGCTACAGCGTCAGCTTTGCCTAGCCCAGCTTCAGCTACAGCTTCATCCTCGCCTGGCCCGGTTTCATCCACGCCTGGCCCGGCTTCATCCTCTGCTTCATCCTCGCCTGATTCTGGTCCAGCTTCATCCTCACCTGGCCCAGCTTCAGCTACAGCGTCAGCTTCGCCCGGCCCGGCTTCAGCTACAGCTTCGTCCTCGCCCGGCCCGGCTTCAGCTACAGCTTCTTCATCGCCTGGCCCGGTTTCATCCACGCCTGGCCCGGTTTCATCTCCAGCTTCATCCACGCCTGGTCCGGCTTCATCCACACCTGGCCCGGCTTCATCCACGCCTGGCCCGGTTTCATCTCCAGCTTCATCCACGCCTGGTCCGGCTTCGGCTTCTGCTTCAGCATCGCCTGGTCCAGCCTTCGTGTCTGCATCCTCGTCTGGTCCAGCCTTCGTGCCCGCATCCTCGGCCACAGCATCCTCATCTTCACCCACTGCGCCTGGTCCAGCCTCCGCTTCAGCATCCTCATCAGCCTCGTCTGGTCCGGCCTTCGTGTCTGCATCATCGTCTGGTCCGGCCTTCGTGTCTGCATCCTCGTCTGGTCCGGCCTTCGTGTCTGCATCCTCGTCTGGTCCGGCCTTCGTGTCTGCATCATCGTCTGGTCCCTTCGTGTCTGCATCATCATCTCCGCCTGCTGCGGTCCCGGCTTCCGTGCCCTCAGCCTCGCCTGGCCCAGCCTCGTTTGGGTCTGGAGCTAAACGGCCGTTTTCTGGACCGCTGGCCGGGCTACTGGCCGGGCGCCGTTGCCTGACTGGCCGCCGTTGCCTTCCGCACGGCCGGCCCCCGGACCGCCATTGCCTGAGCGGCCGCCGTTGCCTTCCGCACGGCCGGCCCCCGGACCCTCTTCGCCTGAGTGGCCGCCGTTGCCTTCCGCACGGCCGGCCCCCGGACCCTCTTCGCCTGAGTGGCCGCCGTTGCCTTCCGCACGGCCGGCCTCCTGAACCTTTTGTGCGCCTCCACGGCCTTCTTCGTGGCCGGCCTCCTGAACTGTCCCATCCTGGCCTCCTGTGTTATCGGGCCCCTGGCCGGCCACCTGAACTGTGTTTTGGACTCTGCTCCCCTGTGAGTTTTTTTTTGTGTACATTTGTTTGGGACTCTGGGGCCTCCGTCTTTGGTCTTGGCCCGGTCCCTCCGTCCTGGGCCGCCTGCCGCCCGCCCGGATCTGGTGGTGTGTTTCTGTGGCTGTCGGGGGCCGGCCCTTGAGGGGGGGGTACTGTCATGGTCCTGCGACCATGACTCAGTGACTTTATGTTTATGTTCTTTATTGTTATTACTTTCATTATTATTCATGGCTGTTTTGGGATGGTTTGTGTTTGGGATTTTAGACACTGGGTTCTGGGTTTGTGCTCCCTCTGTTGGTCCCTGGTGTTAGTGTTCCCCTGTCTCGTCAGGTTAATCAGGTCCAGCTGTTTCCCCCACCTGTGTGTGATTTCCCAGTGTCTCTTTGTGTACTTATAGTGTGTGTTTTCCTCTGCTCCTCGTCGCGTCGTCTGTGTTCATACCCGGTGAATCCCCTGCGTGCTCTCCCTGCTGTTCTCCCTTCATGTTCAGGTTTGCCACTCCTTTGTGTAGTTTCACCCAGTTTAGTTCATCCTTAGTTCTGTTTTGCCATCTCCACTTTGTTTGATATTGTCAATAAATCGCCTTCACATCTGAGTAAGTGCTGCATTTGAGTCCTCCTTTCCACTCTTCACACGGCCGCTGCCCCGGACCGTGACATTCATGGCCATTTGCTGTTATTCAAACATCATTTCTCGAATAATAAAAAAAAATAGTAGCACATTTTTTCCGAAAATACTTCATGGCAAATTAGTCTCCTGAATCTTTTTAATTAGAATTTAAGAAAGGTCTTATCAGAAAGTGTTTACAAAATACTATTTGTACTGTGCTGTTTGAAAAACACTATTTAAATTGGAATTACACACTCTAACGTGATAGGGACGTTACTGGACTCGATGTTCAACGAGGGTGCAAGCTATCTGCATTCGCTCCAGCACAACTACTTCCGTAGTGGTTAACACCTCACTGACCTCTCAAAAAGCAAGGTAGTTTTCTGCAAACAGTGAGATTTATCATAATTATAATGTAAAATCTTAATTATAGTTAACAATAAATGGACTCATTTGAATAATAAACTCCGCAACTGCTGGAATCCTGTTGCTTGTTGTGTTGCAGTCTGTAACCTCCATGGTGTCTTCATGCCCTCTCATCCTCAGAAAATTCCTAGTTGAAAAAGCAATTTATAATGAAACAAGAAATGTTTTATCTAAGAATAATACCTCAGTATCATACATACCTTCAGTTGCGCAGAAGTTTCCTGTCATAAAAACCTTCTTTCCCCATTGGGTCTATGAGCAGTATTTTAGCACTCGATATATGATCCATTGTTGATCTGCACACAGCTGTTGTCACAAACGTCGCACTCGCTTACGTCACTGTCATGAGACATTCTCGCAAAAAAAATCACGGTTTTAGTAACGCAGTAACGCAGCGCTCCTACGGGAAAGTAACGGTAATCTAATTACCGTTTTTGCAATAGTAATCCCTTACTTTACTCGTTACTCGAAAAAAGTAATCGGATTACAGTAACGCGTTACAAGTAACGCGTTACTGCCCATCTCTGGCGCTCGCTGCGCTGTCCTTAGAGAGTAAACATGAAACTATTGAGGGAAAAACACGCGTATATATTGTTTATCCTGACTCTGGTTTTACGTGACCTATCAACGCAATTTAAAAAATGGTATATGTCACCTTGTTGCTTTGTCTTTAAGTGGTCATGTGATTGTCTTACCACGACTACTTTATTCTTCCTCAGTCAAACAGCAGCACTCATGTGATTGTTTTGCCCCCTGAGCTCCAGGTGTTGTGCCAGAAAGTGGTCGTCGGGCAGAAAGTGATTACCGTCCGCAGGAGCGCGCAGCTGCTTAAAGCTGTAGCGTCCAGATTACTTACAGCTACTTCTGTGCAGCTGATATAAGATGCGGTAAGCTGAACACAGCTTCAACCATCTGTTTGTTGACAAATAGTAACGGACTGCGCCGCATTTTCTTGTTAGTAACTGTAACGGTGTTGTAGCGATAGGAATAGTAATTAGTTAGATTACTCATCACTGAAAAAAGTAATGCCGTTACTTGTAACGCCGTTATTCCCATCACTGTTCACTGATCAGTATAACTCTGATCTGTAACCAGCTCCTTTATTTACATTTTGTAAATAAAGTCTTCAGAGTTGTTTTATTGTCAGAGTGGCAGGTAAATTAACCCTAACCCTAAACTGGGAGGACTGAATGGGCCTTTCAGTGATTCTCTGAGGAGCCAACAGGTTCAGCAACAGTCAGGGTGGCGTTAACAATCTGCAACTCACGTCTTTACACTTATACATTAGCGATATTAGCATTAAATTGTTAATTAAGTATTATATTGTAGTACAACACAATAAAAACTAAACATTTTATTCACTACAATAAAATTACAAATTAATCAGACTAAGCTATATTAACTGCTGTGGTTTTGTACTGTGTGCTGACTGGTCATCTGTAAAGGACCTGAACTGTCACAGTATGCAGAAGCAGACTGTATGTATAGTGAACAGTGGAACCAGACACAAAGGAACGTGGGACCAAACTTGAATTAACAAAAAGTGAGCAGTTTAATATGACTGATGGAGAAATACAAAGTAATGCATAAGGCAAACTAAGATGAGAATAAACAATAACGTAAACTGGGGAAGCTAAAAATACACATGAAAAAGCATAAACATGAAACTTGTCGTGGATACAAAGATACCTGAAACAGGGAGACATGACGCAAAAGACAACAGACAACCTGACACTGAACAAAGGAGGACTTAAGTACACAGAAAGATGTGTGAGGATGGGGAACAGGTGGGACAAATCAGACCAGAGGTGACAAGGGGAAGCAAAACTAGACACACTGCAATTAGGAAGGGAAACAGCATGGAACGCAGACATGACGACACGAACCTGACACCATAAGACGCGCAGGCATGAAACACATAAAGGGCGAACATAAACACAGGGGTAAAGGACACAAGGGGAATCGAAAAAACAATTAACTATAACGGCAACTTAGGCAAAGTAGAAATGAACTTGGAATTCCTAAAGGACTTAAACATAAACTATAAACATCAAAATAAGCTAAAACTTTAAACGCTGGGTCAAAAGACCCAGGATCATGACCTGAACAGGTGGAACTGATTCTTAAAGATTCCATTAAGCAGTTAAAAAGAAGCTGAAGATTCAGGACAGCATGGAGTTCGGTCCGCAGCAGTCAGACGATGTTGGTGTCGTACTTCACATCCTGCAAACATCAACACGATACGTGAGCCCTGCTCTGCAACAAGTCCAACACACCTGTAACCTGGTATCTGTCCATGACCAGGATTCACTTATACTAAGTCACATGAAGCTAAGTTTTGACCAGGACATGTCCTTCAACGCACATATTAAACAAATATGTGAGACTGCTTTCTTCCATTTGTGCAACATCTCTAAAGTTAGAAATATCCTGTCTCAGAGTGACGCTGAAAAACTAGTTCATGCATTTATTACTTCCAGGCTGGACGACTGTAATTCATTATTATCAGGAAGTCCTAAAAACTCCCTGAAAAGCCTTCAGCTGATCCAAAATGCTGCAGCAAGAGTCCTGACAGGGACTAGAAAGAGAGAGCAGATTTCTCCTGTTTTGGCTTCCTGTTAAATCCAGAATTCAAAATCCTGCTCCTCACATACAAGGTCTTAAATAATCAGGCCCCATCTTATCATCATCATCATCATCATCTTATCATCATCATCATCATCATCATCATCATCATCATCGTTTATTTGTATAGCACTTTAAGAACACACCAGGCAGACCAAAGTGCTGAACAACACAGATCAAAACAACAACCAAATTAAAAATACCATAAAATCATTACATACAATAAAATAAATAAGAAGGTGTCAGTTTCCTACAGTTAAAAGCCAGGGAATAAAAATAGGTTTTCAATCTGGACTTAAAGACCTGCACTGATGACGCTTGTCTAATTTGGAGAGGAAGGTTATTCCAGAGCATCGGAGCCGCAATTGAAAAGGCACGGTCTCCTCTCCCCCGCGACTTAGGGACCGACAGCAGCAGCTGCTCAGCTGAACGGAGCGAGCGAGGAGGAACATGTGGCTTCAGCAAATCAGATAAATAGACAGGAGCCAGACCATTTAAAGATTTAAAAACCAATAAAAGGACTTTAAAACGAACCCTAAATGCAATGGGAAGCCAATGCCAGGAAGCCAGAACCGGAGTGATGTGATCGAATTTCCTACTACCGGTTAAAAATCGCGCCGCCGCATTTTGCACTAACTGCAGGCGTGACAAGGTGCCCGACCCGACCCCTATTAAAAGGGAATTACAATAGTCCAGACGTGAGGTGATAAAAGCATGAATAAGAGTTTCCAAATTGGGTTTGGAAAGGAAAGGCTTGACCTTCGACAGGCGTCTGAGGTGATAAAAAGCTGATTTCACCACCCCACTTACATGACCTTCAAAAGTAAGCGCAGAATCAAGTTTAACACCAAGATTAGTGATTGAACTTTTCAGATGAGAGGTCAAATCACCAAAATCAACAAACATCTTATCCTAATGACCTTGTAGTACCATATCACCCTATCAGAGCACTTTGCTCTCGCTCTGCAGGCCTACTTGTTGTTCCTAGAGTATTTAAAAGTAGAATGGGAGGCAGAGCCTTCAGTTTTCAGGCCCCTCTTCTGTGGAACCAGCTTCCAGTTTGGATTCAGGAGACAGACACTATCTCTACTTTCAAGATTAGGCTTCAAACTTTCCTTTTTGCTAAAGCATATAGTTAGGGCTGGACCAGGTGACCCTGAATCCTCCCTTAGTTATGCTGCAATAGACGTAGGCTGCCGGGGATTCCCATGATGCATTGAGTTTTTCCTTTCCAGTCACCTTTCTCACTCACTATGTATTAACAGACCTCTCTGCATTGAATCATATCTGTTATTAATCTCTGTCTCTCTTCCACAGCATGTCTTTATCCTGTCTTCCTTCTCTCACCCCAACCAATCACAGCAGATGGCCCCGCCCCTCCCTGAGCCTGGTTCTGCCGGAGGTTTCTTCCTGTTAAAAGGGAGTTTTTCCTTCCCACTGTCACCAAAGTGCTGCTCATAGGGGTCATATGATTGCTGGGTTTTTCTCTGTATGTATTATTGTAGGGTCTACTGTACAATATAAAGCGCCTTGAGGCCACTGTTGTTGTGATTTGGTGCTATATAAATAAAATTGAATTGAATTGAATTGAATGCCAGGGTCTAACCTGCAGAAGGCTTGTGTGAGAGGGGCCGGGCTGGCAGCATCTGACCAATCACAAATAGCGAGAGAGAGAGAGAGAGAGAGAGAGAGAGAGAGAGAGAGAGAGAGATTTAAGACCACTTGAAAAATCCACTGAAGGAAAAAGCACCCCAGACCATTGTGGCGTCCCCTCCACTGTGGTGTGTAGAAAACATTTCAGGTGGGATCTCCTTGTCATGCTCGTAGCGCTGGAAACCATCAGGACCATCAAGGTTACATTTGTTCTCATCAGAGAATAAAACTTTCTTCCACCTTTCAGTGTCCCATGTTTGGTGCTCTGTAGCAAAGTCCAAACAGTCAGTTCTATGGCGTTCAAGGAGACGAGGCCTTTGAAGACGTGTGTTTGTTTTTGAAGCCTTTCAGTCTCAGATGCCGTTTGAGGGTTATGGGCTGCAGTCGGCACCAGTAACGGCCTTAATTTGGGTCGAGGAGTGTCCAGTGTTCAGGCTCAGTGCCGGGGACATTTTTTGGGTCTTCCACTTGGCCTTTTTGTTCCATAACCCTCAGGACCATTTAAGAAATTCGCAATGACTGTCTTACTGCGTCCCACCTCGGCAGCGATGACACGCTGTGAGAGACCCTGCTTATGCAGTTCAACAATCTGACCACGCTCAAAAAAGCTTTTTTGCCATCAGGACGTCATGACAGTGTGACTACCTGACAGAAAATGACAATGAATCCACGTTTCTGCACAGGTTTGTCCTTTTAAAGGCATGTGGTCCTAAACTTTTGGTCAGCTGTAAAACAGCTTGTTTCAGTTTAAGCGTTGTTTTCAATAAACTGCATGCTCAAAAAAATGTTTTGTCTCACTCCAATTTCTTCTTGTTGCATGTTGAAGCTCTACTTGGAACCGTGTTCAGATCCATCCATGGAAAATATGATTATTTTTTTTTTGTATTATTCAAGTGGTCTTAAAGTTTTTTATTTTATGTATTTATTTTTTGTAAATGTTAATATAGTGGTGTGAAAAAGTGTTTGCCCACTTTCCTGATTTTTCTACTTTTTCTATCTTTGTCACATTAAATGTTTTAGATCATCTAACGAATGTAAACATTAGACAGAGATAACACAAGTAAACACAAAATGCAGAGGAAACAATCCAAACCTACATGGCCCTGTGTGAAAAACTGATCACACCTTTGGAAGTTCAGTTTCTCTAGCCATACCCAGGCCTCATTACTGCAACATGAAATCATTGAAAGCACTTAAATAGGACCTGACTGACAAAGTGGAGCAGACCAAAAGATCTTCAAAAGACAGACATCATGGCATGATCGAAGTAAATTACGAACAAAACAGAAACAAAATTATTGAGATCAGTTAGTCTGGAAAAGGTTTTAAAGGCTCTGGGACTCGAGTAAACCACAGTGAGAGCCATTATCCACAAAAAACATGGAACAGTAGTGAACCTTCCCAGGAGTGACTGACCAAAATTACCCCAAGAGCGCAGCCATGACTCATCCAAAGACCCCAGAACAACAGCCAAAGAACTGCAGGCCTCACTTGCCTCAGTTAAGGTCAGAGTTCATGACTCCACCATAAGAAAGAGACTGGGTGAAGCTGAAACGCACTTGGTTTCAGCAAGAGGACAACGATCAAAACAAAGCAGCAAGTCCACCTTTGAACAGCTTAAGAAGAACAAAATGAAGACTTTACAGTGAGCTGGTCAAACTCTTGACCCGACTCTGATTGAGATGCTGCGTGACCTTAAAAAGGTGGTTCATGCTTGAAAATCATCCAGTGTGGCTGAATTACAACAATTCTGCAAAGACGAGTGGGCCAGAATTCCCCCACAGCTGTGAAACACTCAATGAAGTAATACGAATGCTCGATTGCAGTTGTTGCTGCTAAGGATGGCCCAACCCGTTATTAGGTTTAGGGGGCAATCACTCTTTCACACAGGGCCTTGTAGGTTTGGGAGTTTTTCCTGTATTTTGTGTTTACCTTTGTTATCTTTGTCTAATATTTAAAGTTGTTTGATCCGAAACATTTGAGTGTGACAGACATAGAGAGTTTGAGATTTAACTTTGAGATTTTTATGTTAATTTGAAGTTTGTCGTTACAGTTGGACACTGCTGCTTATTGATGTTATTATTATTTTATTTTGATTTTTTTAATCTTGCACAGTCTGTATATGACTGTCACTTATTCTGAGTTTCTGCAGTACTCAGTCCTACACAAGTACACACTATTATTGCTTATCACTGTCTGCACACACAGCTTTGATGGATCCTCCAGGAGTGATGACACCATTTTCTGGTGAACTGATTGGTCAGCAGGTGGTGAGATCACACACACACACCATCAGGTCATCCTGACTCTGAGTCACATGCGGAGTCTGTTCACCCATATCTGTCTCTCCTTCAAATAAACTTTATTAAACAGCAGCTCTTAAAGCTCTCGCACACTCTGCTGTCTGCAGTCTGTGTTCAAGCTTCATGTTTTTATGATATTACACATTTGTGTAAAATCAGCCGCTCTGTGTCAGCACACCTGTCCATCTTTCAGGCTGGTCACATGTCGCAAACTCTGCCCTTTGCATGTAATTATGCTCAATAAACTTTGGTTGATTTACTTAGTTGATGACCACTTCCTGTGTTAGGATAAGTGAAGCCAGATGAGGAAACATCTTAGTACAGGCCCCAGCTTCCCACCTCAACAACACACCTCATAGCTGATCTCTGAAGGGGGTGGGGCTTCTGACACAGGTGGGGATTCGTATGTACATGGGACCTCTGAAGCAGCTTCGAGCGATTTGTTGATAAAGATGATTGGCTAAAAACAACCCAAAAGACACAGCTGTTAAGGTTTGAATTGGAAACATGAAGAATGTGAAAAGACTGAGCTGATTCAGGTGGACACAGGTGGACTCACCTGATCAGTGGAGGGACACAAAGCGTAGCAGCCAAAGGCAGCGATACAGATGGAAACGATAAACTCCAGGAGACAGAAAACAGCCAGAACAGCTCTCTGGACCTGGGAGGATAAAAACACCCCTGTGCTTTTAGCCCTTTCCATTAGAACCTACTCAGATCAGGCTGAGGCGACTTGAGTACCACCTCATGTACGTGGGACAATTACAGCAACACGGCTGAATGTCCTGTGATGTCATTTATATGCAGCATGAACGCCATTTTCTACTTGCTGCTCGGTCTGTGGCTTTTTGTCGGACTCGGGGACCGCAGTGTTGTTTCTGTGCAGTCGTTTCCCTCTTTGCCATTTTAAAAATGGCAGCTTCGATTTTCACAAAGGAGACGCTCTCATGACTCATGGAGTGGTGCCACTGACAAGCCAACCAGATAACCTTGATCCAAGTAGGTACTAAAAAAGTACCTGCTATCAGGAACCACCACCTAATGCAGGGGTGTTGAACTCCAGGCCTTGAGGGCCGGTGTCCTGCAGGTTTTAGATAACACCCTGGGTCAACATGCCTGAATCAAATGATTAGTTCATTACCAGGCTTCTGGAGAATTTCAAGATATGTTGAGGAGGTAATTTAGCAATTTAAATGGCTAAATTACCAAGGACACATCTAAAACCTGCACGACACCTACCCTCAAGGCCTGGAGTTCGACATCTGTGACCTAATGGAAAACCCTAAAAACCATGTCAAGCCATGCCACGCCAACCCGAGCAGGTACTAATGGAAAAGGGCTTAATTATTGTAGCAAGAAATACTGATAGCCTCTAATGATAAACAGGAACAATTAGAGACCACAGTCAATCGCAGTAAATCTAGACACAGAATAAAACTCTCAATAAAAAGGACATGAATCATAATAATGATGATCATTTATAACAGGAGAGAACGTCATCGCTTCAAAAGTTTCCACATTAATGTTAAACCAGTCGCCACACTTTTCAGACTATTTTTGCTTGAAGGAACCGGACTAAAGAGCACTTTCTGCTAAATGCGCCGTAAACCTACACATTACACTTTTTTACTGTTGGTAGTAGGTGATGTGAGCGTCAGCGATGGGATGGCAGCACTTCTGTCTGAGACCTGACTGTCATGCAAGTTTTCTGTACTCGTTTGATTGGCAGACACAGCTGCTCTAAATGTTCTTCTTTTTTTTTTATTAGCAAAATCAACATACAAACAAAATGCACCAGATATTACACATTCAGAGAATAGACATTCCTTACATATTAGCAACTTTCATACATAGGAAAAAGAAGATATAAAAATGGGGTCATAAAACTTAACAGATTATTAACTCAAAATCTTCCAAAAAGGAAACAAAAAAAACAGACTTTTTGTTTTTAACTAAAGTCAGTGCAGAATACAAATAGCATTTGTATTTTATTTTTATCCTATTGTATATTTTATTCTATTTATTCTACTGTGTACAGTATTTTATTCTTATTGTATTCTAATTTTTGCTATATAACTTTTGCACTGTCCACTTCCTGCAGTGACAAAACAAATTTCCCACGTGGGACTAATAAAGGTTATCTTATCTTATCTTAAGATTTAACCAACAGGTTTAAGTCGTTTTTCCAGTAAGCTCGTGTTGGTTTGGTGTTAAAAAAATGACATTTATGTATAAATTGCTTGCACAAGACTAATAACACATTAACACCATAATTAGCTTTCTTTTCTTTCAAAAACACTCCAAACATTATCATATTTAAGGTAAATGGGGTAATTTGACTCCCACTGGAATAAAGCCAGGTATGAAAATCCAACCAAAATATTTGTATAAAATTGCACAAAAAAAATAGATGGTTAATCCTCCTCTTCTGTTTCACAAAATACATAATTACCAGTTTCTATTTTGAATCTATCACCAAGGAGTCTATTTGTCGGGTAAATTTTATTCAAAATTTTAAATTGGACTTCTTTCCCTTTAGGAGGGATAGGGAAGGTTAACTGAATACCATCTATATATAATTGCCTTAACTTGGGGGAGATGTCAGAATATATTATATCATTTACAACTATGTTTTTAAGTGACAATGGAATGGATTTTATAACCCGATTAAATTTACTTTTAGAACATTGGATATTAAACTTTTGGCAAAAATCTTGATGTCCTAGAACATGCCCCTCCTCATCTACAAAATGGACAATTGCTCAAACACCTTTTGATAACCAATCTTGAATAAAAATAGATTTTCTGTTCATCAGTATATATCTATTGTTCCAAATTGGGCTATTATGTGGAGTGAAATTATGTTTAAATAACATTTTCCAACAAAGAAGGATCTGTTTATGGAATTCAGAGAGTTTAGCAGGTAGCTTAGTAATTTCAAAGTCACACTTTAGGAGAAAGTCGATACCCCCCAGTGTGTTAAAGACCTTACTTGGTATAAAAAACCAAATGGAGTGTGGATTATTTAGGAAGGATTTTAACCATTTAAGTTTCAAAACACCATTCATTATATCAAAATCAATTGCGTTTCCACCGCCTTCAATGTATGGTTTAACCAAATCATCTTTAGATATATAATGGCACTTATTCCTCCAAATAAAATTAAAATTCAAGCTATTAATTGTTTTAATAACTTTATTTGATATTGATAAAGAGTAAGCTGGATATATAAATCTAGATAAACTGTCCATTTTGGTTAATAATATTCTTCCAAAAATTGTGATGTCTCTTTGTAACCACTTATTTAAGATTGTCTTACATTTGTCAACATTATCTGAAATAGTCAAAGGAGCTTGCAAAGAAAAGCGTCTGGACTTCTTTAAGTTACTTGAAGACGTTTCACCTCTCATCCGAGAAGCTTCTTCAGTTCTAAGGTCAAATGGTGGAGAGTCCCAGATATAAACCTAGTGGGAGTTTCCCCCCACAGAGGGACAAAAGGACCCCTGATGATCCTCTAATCGTCTGAGCCAAGGTGTGAAACTGGGTGTGGGTCCCAATACTGAAGGACCCGTCCCATCCAGGCAACAAACTGTTCCAACTTCTGCAATCTGGTAGAAGGTTCCGCATCTTCTGGGCAAGGACAGAGAGACTCAAGAGGAGCTTCTATCCCCAAGCCATCCGTGCCCTAAACACACACACCCGCCCTCTCACATCATCTATAATTGACTGAGACAGGACTCTTCCAGACACTAAACCAAGGCACAATGTACATTTCAATTCCTTTAATTTTAAATATGTTTATATTGTCTATCCTGTAAAATAGTCAGCTGTCTATTCATATTAATGTACAGAATTCACCTGCTTGCTGCTACTACTGCACATTCACCCAATGTACATACTGTATATATATATATATATATATGTATACTAGGGGTGCAACGATACACAAAATTCACGGTTCGGTTCGATTCGATACTTTGGTGTCACGGTTCGATATTTTTTCGATACAAAAAAATGTTCATGCCTTTTTAATTTGTCATTTATTAAAATTATAAATATATATTTTAACTCAAAAGTACAGTTTTTAAATTTAACCCTAACCCTTGTGCGTGTTTTTTATTTTGACAGCGAATGCGCACCTGCGGACCACTTATGTGCAGCCCTGGTTATTTAGCTCATCATATTGCAGCCACAGAAATTCTTTTGTCCATGAAACCATAAAGCTGCACTTTCTTTTTGCCTTATAGTCTGATTTGTCATAACTTCTCCGTTTTGTGGTAAGCTTTTCTTTGGCTGTCACTTCTTCACTCTGACCTGTCTTATTTGGCTCAGCAGAACTGAAATATATATCCTGCTGCTTTTACACACACACTCACATAAGCTCAGCGATTCTCTGCGCGATCAACCTCTCACATGTTTAAGCTGCGGGAGATTTCACTTGTCATGTTTGCATAGTAAGCTAACGATTAATAAGACGATGTCAGAGGAATTGGTGCACAAATTATCATCACTCACAGATCAGTGCTGTCGCTCTCTATACACAGTTCGCACGATTGCAAAGTGAAAGCAAAAAAACAAGTGCAAATTCAAACGCGACTTCAATATGTCACATATTGACAGTGGCTCACTGATGCCAATGACATAATTACCCAGCTACATTTCTGAAAGAATGCAAAAGCATTGACATATATTTTTCGTACAATAGCCCGACGGGCAGGGAAGAGATAGATTTTGGTAGCCTGACTGAAAAAATCGCTAGCTCCGGGACGTCGGGCTAGCGATATTGCGAGCCCTGTATCTGATTGAGGAATCACTCATCTTTGGAAAAGAGAGTTTATTACAGAGAAATGGCTCTTTCCAAAATAAAAGCTATACTATCCGCTTCTTCTGGGCTATATTCTCAGCAGCATAAGGAGAATCATGTGCTAACAGCTGTCTAAATGACTCGGCTAAAGTTAGTAGCATGCTTGTTGTTTTTGTCTTTGCACTAGGATGATGTCGGCGTAAATGTGCAGTCATATTCGTTGTGTTCCCGCTAGTGCTTTCAGGTTAATCTCGTTGAAATGACCTTAACGCCACAACACGGCAAATCTCCGTTAACGAGCTACCGCCGATCGCCCCGTGCATGGGGCTAGACGGCCAACACGTTAACAAGCTAACTGCGCTAACACACTAGTTCACACCAATGTAATTGAGCATTGCATGGCACATCCAACATACTGTTTTACTTTAGTCCATGACTCGCTTACCTTCAGGGTCATACGTCACATGAAAACCAAAATAATTCCAAACGCCAGATCTGAATGAGGTTCAATTTGCTTGTTGCAAGGAGAGCTTAACTTCTGTCTCGCTAGCTTGCCCTGCGCTCTTCCTTCTGACTATGCTGTCTGTGTTGAGCGCTCAGTGGATCTGCGCTTGACAGTGCAGCCTAGGCGGAGTAGTCGAACACAGATTCACTGAGCGCTCAACACAGACAGCATCGTCAGAAGGAAAATTGATAAAATAAATTACAAATGTTGTATTGTTCGATACATATGCGTACCGAACCGAAAGCACTGTATCGAACGGTTCAATATCGATACGAATATCGTTGCACCCCTAATATATATATATATATATATATATATATATATATATATATATATGGTATTCAGTTAACCT